TTCTTTCTGAAGATTGAGCTGCTTTATTCGACCTACTGGAGTTGTCAGGTGACTCGACAGCTACGGATTTAGGATATGCATTCTGTTGCAGACAACGGAGAGTGAAAACATGATGATTGTTCCAATTACACAGTTTCTTTGTTAATTTAATTCGATTGCAAAATAATTCAAATGAATTGTCGTCAAGATTTGACAGAATAGTTCTAAAATATTTGGGCGCCGAGTGAGAAGTAGATATTTGTGAAGAATTATATATGTAAAACAAGTGATGTTCCTTTTATATATAAACCTCTGTTATGTTAATTTCAATTAATTTCCCTGAAGCAGTTCGGACCAGATTGCCGAACGAAACGTTGGAATTAATCATTTCAATTTCGCTGAGGTTTTACAAGTATAATTTTTCACAGACATTTTATAGTCTAGGAACATGATGTTGACGCTGTCAAGTTATTCACTGTTGTTAGCAGGCAGACAAACCAGCAGAAAGATGCATGCTATTGCCAAGGCTTGTGCAACTAGAGTTTATAAAGGTGGTCTCTGTTGATAGAAAGAAATGGTGGTCACTTTAAGTCTACCAAGGTAAAATCTGTTACTGATTTACTGTTATTATTAGTTACATATGTTTTACTCCGTCTTTTAGTGTTACTCTTATCATATTGTTAGCATCATTATTTTAACTCGCTTCATTATTACTTTTATTATTATTATTAGTACTAAGTTTTACAGTTTCTGACATTTTCACGTTCTTTCTTCGATAACTGAACCATAGTCCATTATTTCCCTTAATTTTAAGTTATCATAACCCCTTCCCATTTACCTATCCCAGCTTGACCTGTAAAACATTCACACCAATTGTTTTGCATGACTGATTTAATATAGTTCGTTTAACTCATCAGACATTTATCTCCCAATGTATTCCCAGTTGTGTATAAGTCGCAGTATGTAGAGTATTCAGCTGAAGGGTACTACTGAAATTTGATGGATTCAATAGTTTCTGCTTAATTAACCTTTGCTGTTTGTTTTAAAGACAAACAAACTACATTTTCTGTGAAGACTACATATCCATGCATAAACAGACCATCAGGAAAGATCCTTTATCAATGACAGATAGAATGACGCCTGGGTATTTAATTTCTGACTTGGTTTCTATGGCACTGAAATAGAAACCAAGTCAGAAATTAAATACCTAGGTGTCATTCTATCTGCTGATCTTTCCTGGTCGTCTCATATCTTGACGATTTCTAAGAAAATATTCCGTCTTACCTTCTACATCAAGAAGTTAAGACATTCTGGTATAACCCAACCCTTACTCCTACAATTCGTTAACTCTCGTATTCTACCTATTATTCTCTATTGTTCCCCCTTAGTTTTTCCCGGGCTACTGAAGAAATACTATAACATATTACGCAGGATGTTAAAGGTTGTAAGCAGGGTAAGCAACGTGCCACCTAACCAGCTTGTTAATATTCTGGTTGACAGGCACATGGACTTATGTGAAAAATGGGTCAAATCCATTTTGTCTAACTCACACCACCCTATTCTCTCACAACTCTCCCCTTGCATCTCATCAGGCAAAACCAGGAGCCTATATGGAAAACTATATGCTCGCACCAGCAAGTACAAAAGCTCAACCATACCCTACTTGGCTTGTGTTCTGTGCGATAAAGAAAGTATTAGGCGTGACACCTATAATTCATTAAACAGTCAGTAGTACAACTGGACCTCGTCTTTCCAACTCATATCATCAATAGGTACAACATTTTCTTTCTTTCTTTTCCTTTTCTCCCTCTCGTTTTTTTCCGTTATGTGCTGCTTTGTTTCTTTCTCCCGCTTACACCAGTAAATATGATAGCACCTACTTTTCTAACACCTTCAAACACTGTTCAACTTTGGCTTCGCCACCGACATGCCAATATGCTGTTGTCATAATGAACTGAGATTTCCTTAATCTGTGTAGAATTCTATTTATTGATAATGTACTAACTGGATTCAATACTGTAGTAAAAATGCTGAGAATTCCATTATGTATCACAAGTACCGCTTTGGAATAAAGCAAATTATTACTATTATTATTATTAATGATATCAATAAACTAGAATATTTTCTTGCTTATCAGACTATTTCAGGGAATGATGTAAACATGTATTAGCAAGATACACTGTGCGAAATCGTCTACAGGCAGCATTTTTGAGAAAAATTTAATTGAAAATTTTCATTAAAAAAATTTAAAAGATTCATTAATGAAGAAAGAATATTCTACTTTTCGATTAGTTCGTCATCAATTCTACATTTGTATGAAAGTCAGCAATCAAAGAATTATTGGTATTAACAACATTAATGCTGTTCTAAATTACACTGAATCAGTAGTATCGACAGATGACATTCAAAAAGCGTCAGTAAGAGAGATAGACAGAGATATTGTGCATTAATATATAACACCAAACTGAACGAATATCAGAAAAAGTTAGTGGAAGTAACACAGAATTTATGAACTTATAGACTCGATTGTAGGCCAGGGTAGCAGTAGTCATTAAACATGTTTCTTTTGCACACGGAGCTCCAATTGATTTAAGTGAATTGCAATAACCTCTGCTGTTTGAAGTGTTCTGTACTTAGGGGCCTTTGGTATTTTATTTGAAACCCGATAGGTGATATAGGAAAACGCCTAAAAGTTAGCTTTGTGTCCTGTTTGCACGATGTGATGCATTATGAGGACTGCTAAAAGTTTAAACGGCACGTTTATTTAATTCAGTTTTAAATTTTCCCCTCGATTGATTGGACTGAAGTGCTCGGTCTCAGGTTGACGTGTCGGCTTCTTGTGCAGATGCTTCAATGAGTCACAAAGAGGACGAAATGCACATCGTGGATTCCAGTGCTGGTCACCATCCACCAATTAACTTCTAATTACATACCCAGACATCGTCGACAAGAGGTGGCTCTCGTGGCCCAAGTGGTCTAGTGGATAAGGCTTTGACGTTTGAAACTATGTGCACTGGGTTCGAGCCTCAGTGGGAACATCATCACTCACTGCGGGATGCCAGTACATCCAGATAACGAGTCCCAAATAGGACGAAATGCTTATCCTGGATTCACTGCTGGTCACCATCCACCAATTAGGCACGTTTATTTAGTTACAATGGTAGGTAGGTGTTCCAGGGGACAAAATATGAGGTTCGTAGAGCAACAGCCAATATTAGTGGCTCCATACGGGGAGTGGTTGAATTAAAACAGATATAGTTAAAGGTGGCTAGCCTACATACATCATCTGCCAGTTTCGCAATGACGACAGGCTTTGTGGAGAATATAAACTGCAGCTTTCCGACATTAAACGTTTTTGGAAGAGATTTCCTCAACTTGTTGGTTATTATTTCACTTTGTATCTCCCCTCTGAATCGTAGTCGTATATGCACACAGGCTTCTTGTTAACAGATACAGAAAAATTCTTTTATTTCTTTATGTTTCGAATGAAACACAAGGCTTCAAACTTGTACTTTGAAGTTTGTAACTGGTTATCTTTACTGACTGGTAAATCTCATCTAAAAAGATATATCATCATGCCTGTTAATTGTAAACTGACGTCAAAAAGTGACAACGAAAGCTTCACAATTAAACCAACCAGGTAACAGGCGGTAACAACACCAAAAAATAAAATCTTGTTTTGAAAAAGAAAGAAGTTTAATTTTCCGAAATTCTCCTGATTTAGTTGACTATGTGGTTCGTATAGAATTAATTTTATTTAAATGGAGAGATTGGCTGATTTATTGTTGATAATATATTGTTTGCCAGAAAAGATCAGCAACGGAGATCTCTGGGAGCGAACCAACACAGCAGGAACCCATTGTGAAACAAATAGGCAGGAAGAAATGGAGATGGAAACCATCAAGTGACATCACTAGACAAGCCATTGCTCGGGTGGAACCCGAACGGGAAGCGGCAAGTTGGTTGTCAGTGCAAGGGTGACTTGGAGGACGTCATGTGAAGAGGAGATGAAAACATGTGGGCAGATTTGGAGCCAGGTGAAGACTCTAGCAGAGAACCGAACGCAATGGAGACGCACGACTGAAGCCCTATGTTCCTCTAGGAATTAAAGGAAACAATAATTAATAATAATAATACATCGTTTATGATAGAGACCTTCATGGTCATCAAGATATTTCTGGCTTAGTATCAAGCTATTAAAAGCGTATTACCCTGCTTCTACACTTGTAATGCCTCATTCACTAGCCTTCAAGACGTCATTTTCACACTTAAAATTGTTGTAGGAAAGATTGGGATGATTTTACTATCATTACTTGTTCTTACGTTAATTTGTATTTCCGGCTGATTGATTTTCTTCGACTGGTGAAATGATCAATCTCTGTTGACATTTTCGGCTCCATTACTATGGAGAATTCGATGATGTCTGACGACTGACATGATGTTATTTTGGTTGATAGTGATTAGTATTGTAGTTCAGGACGCATATTTCGTCCTATTTGGGACTTATCGCCTGGATACACTTGGATCCTCGGGAATCATGATATTCCTGGTGAGACTCATACCCTGCAGATTAACTTAAACAAGGGGTGGCGCTTATGGTGTAGAGGCCTAGTAGACAACACTCTAAAATGGGACCAACATCACTCACTGGGGCGCAGTTGCATATAGCTGACAAGTCCCAAATTAGGACGAAATTTATATCGCGGATCCTGTTGTTACCCTCCATCAACCAAAATAATATCTTGTATTATTCTTCTTCACGTATAACTAAGAAGACGTGAATTTACAACAAACCACTAGTGAATACTCTTCATAAGATTATTGAAGATTATTGATCATGACAAATCACACCTGTCAATTTTTTTTTCAGATGATCGTATATAACAGTTAGTTTGTCATTTTGAGGTCAATTACTGAAGTTATAAGACTTCCTGTCATCCGACGTGCTCAGTTGAAATCAATATTCTAACATGTATAAATATGGAAGTATGTCTTGCATACAATTCGTATTAATCAAGTATCAGGTATTCATTCGTATTACAATGCTTCTTAAGCAATTCTGTATCCTGTTATCTCTGGCTGTTCTATGCAATGTGATTTCCTGCAAGAAAAAAGAGGGTAAGATATACAAATTAATTCTGTTTTTAGTTGCTAGTTATTTATCATTTTATATTATTATTTTATAACTTTGACTTCCGAGTGGAACATTGGTCTTCGACAGCACATCCTCATTTAACTCTGTTCTCTGCATTCCTCTGTAGCTGACCCCATAATCACTCATAAGCTTTCATCCCCTCCTCAAATGATCTCCCATATGTCACTCTCAGACGCACAACTCGTCGTTTCCCGTCCGGATCTCGTAACACATGATGTCACTCAGCAGTCTCTTTAGTGTTTGCGCTACCTATCTCCATTTTCTCCGGCATACTTGTTGTGCGAAACGGTTCTTGGTTGGTACATTCTCAGAGTTTGCTGTTGCTGATGACTTTTAGCCTGTCATCTGATCTTCAGTATGGAGTCAGCGAAGGAGGCAACTGTTGATAAACATCTTCAGCAGGCTGTTGGAAATGCTTCTCATGAGGCTCAGTGCAAATTTCTGACCCATATAGAAGTGACTGATTAACTTAACATTAGTGGTAACGGCATTTCTCAGTGAGTGATGATGTTCCCACCGAGGCTCGAACCCAGTGCTCATAGTTTCCAACGCCAAAGCGTTATTCACTAGACCACTTGAGCCACGAGAGCTAGGTACATCCAGATGACGAGTCCCAAATAGGACGAAGTGCGCATCCTGGATTCCATTGCTAGTCACCATCCACCAATTAAATACTAATTAAATGCCCAGACATGTCGAGGCATCTGCTCAAGAAGCCAACATGTCAACCTGAGGCTGAGCACTTCGGTCCAATCAATTAACGGGAAAAATCTAAAATTCAATTGAAATTATCGCGGTATCTCTCTTTAGTAAAATTATGTACACCTTATCCTCAACGCATCATTTGCACAGATCTTCTGTGTTGTGCCGATTCCGGCCTTCATATTGTGTTTCTTTGTGTTCCTTTCACGTCTTCCATGTATCTCCACAACGCTGTATCATTTTCTTTCTCTGAAATCAAATCTGTCTCCCGGCTATTGGATGTTTTTCTGTCGATGAACGTCTCTTTACATATATATACTACTGACAAATCTTATCAGTAGCACACGCCACACTAAGCCCAGGAATAGACAGAAGGTTGGGAGTGGGGCTAGCGACCCTACCCAGGAAAACCAGTTCAGTAGCTACAGATACTTTAAAGCCTAACAGAAATATAAAAAACAAAATTACTCATTCATAAATCCATTTAGTTACAGAATTTCATCATGAGCTGATATCGGTTAGAGGACCACTGGAAAACCTGCAGGGAGTACTGGATAGCTATCTCGTTAGCCTAGTCTCGGACTCTTCAGCAGTGCGCGCCTACTCAGGTTCGAACCCATCTCCTTCTGGCTACAAGGTGAGCTCATGGACCATTACGCCACTGGGACCCAATCCAATGGTCAGCTCATTAATTCCAACGTCTGCTAATTCATGATATGGTGTGGCCACTGGCGAATGTCATCGCTGGCGAGTATATGTCCTCACACCCGACCTGCTTTAACCCCCCCCGGTCACGACTTCCCACTAGAACTCAGGTAACTACCTATCTGAATAGGGTCAGTTGCTAGTGAGCATTTCATTGATATTCATGTTGGTTTGCAGGGATTTGACTGACCGGTTAGAGAACCGATATTAGCCCATGATGATATCCTGTAACCAGTCAATCAATTCCCTACAACCCAATACTTGAAATTCATTTAGTGTTGCATAATTCTCTCTTACGAATCTTATAACCATCAGAATACTAGATTTGGGTTCATTCTACTATTAACACAACTGCAACACGCAAAAATATACAAATGGTCACTGGAATATTGACCTAACCCTGAAAGGACACAAAATATTCTCTGCCAAGAGAAAGGTGGTATAAGTTGGAATTACAGTTAATTATGAAATCATTTCATGCGATCGATAATAATCACTATGTTTTGAATGGCGACAGTGTGTCAAAAGAATATGTAACCATGGGACCTCTTATGTACATTACGATCAAATGTCTAGTACACAGGTCAAGTAGGAGATAGTAACCCCTATTATGTTTCCTTCTGAACTAAAGGAAATCCAAGTAGAACTGTTTTTCTTATAACTGTTGATTATCTGTTTAATTAACAGGGTTCAGGTGAAATGGGCATACACTGGACCAATGGAAAGACAGTGAAAGATCTAAACTTCGCGTATGATTTATGTCTAGTGTCACACAAACTCAAAGATCTACAAGCAAAAGTAAACAGGTTGGCAGAATAGGCAGTGTAGAAAGGACTGCAGGGGAAGAGAGATAAGTCAGACACGATGAAGATACGTAACCAACTCCAAACATCTGTGGGAGAAGTTACCTCTCTCACTTACTTAAGCAGTGTCGCTTCAATTACAGGCTGACGGCACAGATGAGGATCTCAAAGCTCTCCAAGATTGGAAAGGCAGAACAAACCTTCGTGAATCTGAAATCAGTATGGAAATCTGCTTCAGTGAGTAATAAAGAGCACAATCAAGACCTCTTCAACACTAAAATTAAATCAGCGCTTCCGTATGATTCAGAAACTTAATGCGTGTCATGAAAAGCTTTTTCAACAACCTGCAGACTTTCATCGAAGGCTGTCTCCGCTCCATACTGAAGATCAGATGGATGGTCAGAAAGGATTAGCAAAAAGGTATCCTGAAAATGAATCAGCCAGGAACTTATCGCCCAACAAATATGGAGATGGATTGGAAATACCTGTGGAGGCTATCGAGTGAGATTTCGTGCCAATCCCTTCAATGGAAGCTGGATGTGAAATGACAACTTGAGTGGCCGACTGTGAAATATAAGAGATTGTATCAGAAGGAGGAGACAGATGCTTATGGACAATGGTGGAGGACTGTGGAGAACCGAGTGAATTGGATATGCGACACTAAAGCCTCATGTTTAACTCGGAAACCGAGGGAAAAGTAATATGATTATTATAATACGCCTTAGATACCTACCAGATAAAAACTTTGTTACTACTGTCAAAGTAGTTTTCAAAAGTGAAGTCTATTCAAGTGTTGGTTTGCAGGGATTTGATATGATTGATTATAGGATTTCATCATCAACTGACATTGGTTAGAGAACCATTGAAAAAACTGCAGGGAGTACTGGACAACTGTGTCGTCAGCTTAGTTTGGGACTCGTCAGCAGTGCACACCCACCACCAGGGTTCGAACCCAGGACTTTCTGGTTACAAGGCGAGCTCGTAGATCATTATGCCATTGGGACTCCATCCACTGGTCAGCACATGAATTCCTAATTCAGCCAGTTGATAATATGATCTTATCACTGGCGAATGTCATCGCTGGTGAGTATATGTCCTCAGACCCGACCTGCTTTACCCCACTGGTCACGACTTCCCACTAGAACTCAGATAACTGCCTATCTGAATACGGCCAGTCACTGGTGACCATCAGATTGATATTCAAGTGTTGGTTTGCAGGGATTTGATTGGTTTCAGGATTTCATCATGAACTGACATCTGTAAAGTCTGTTGTCTGTTTTTTATCAACTATAGACCATTCAAACCCAATGCTTATTACTTCACTTATTATTACTATCAAGTTGATGAGGTATGCTCACTTGCGCTTTAACTGAGATCACAGAAATACGACAGTAATAGTAATTATTATTATCATTATTATTTTGCTTATATAAGTCACACTTCTCTCTAAAGCTATTTATCAACGGTTTCACTTTCCTCTGCCTTTTTACTACAATTATCACTTTTGATTTACACTTTTCAGAGAAATGTCATCTAAAACCTGATGCAGGTTTATGTCGTGCATATATACCCTCTTTCTATTATGATGCAGCCGCTAAAAAATGCAAAGAATTCATCTATGGTGGATGTATGGGAAATGATAATCGTTTTGAAACAGAAGAAGAGTGCAAGAAAGCTTGTGAAGGAAAGTAAAAAAAATTATTGCTTATCCCCTACTGGACAAGAAAATTTGAATACTCCAAATGAAAGTTTTACAATTGAAAAAAAATGATTAAAAAGAAGAAAAAGTATTTTTTGTATTTATAAAAACTCTACACTAGAGTAGTTATTGTAATGATGATAATAATAATATACTGTTAAGTAACATTATATATAATTATTTATTATTCTTTTGGGTTCCGAGGGGGACATAGGGCTTCAACAACACATCTCCACTTTGTTCTACTTTCTGCCGTCCTCTTCAGCTGGGTCCACGATTGCCCAGAATCTCTCATCTCCTCCTCCAACACACACGATCTCCTCCATCTCACTCTCGCACCAACGAACCACTCGTCGTTTCCCACTGGGATTCTACTCGAGTGATAGTCTGCACTCCACGTTATGTCATTAGACGGTCTCATCAATGTATGCCCGATCCACCTCAATTTTCTCCTACATATTTGCTGAGGGATTGGTTCTTGGTTGGTTCGTCGCCAGCACTGATTCTTTCTCGACGTTTGATCTTCAGTATGGATCCAGTGAAGGCAACTGTTGATGAAAGTCTACAACCTGTTGGAAATGCTTTCTATGATGCTGGTGCCAAGTTTCTGACACATATAGAAGAACTGACTCCACATTTGTGTTGAAAATCCAAATCTCGTTGACTGAGTGCGAAAGATTTCCAAATTGGTTTCACGTTGATGAAGGTATACCTTGCCTTTCCGATTCTGAATTTCACATTTCCATCCGTTCCACCCGTACTCGAAAAGATGCTTCTCAGATAAGTGGAGGAAGTAACATCTGTCAAATCTCTCCCATTGATGGTGATTGGTGCTGGTTGTTGTTGTTGCTGTTGGTGAGTGGTTATCTTCATCACCTCCGTCTTCTCCATATTCAACTGGAATCCTGTCTTCTCCGTTTCACCAGCCAGTCTGTTGGTTTTCGCCTGCAAGTTTTCGAGTTTGTATGACATTAGACATATACCACCTGCGAAATTCAGATCTTCTAGAGTCTTTTTATCGGTGGTCCAAGGTATTTCTGTCTCCTCTTTCTCCACAATCTGACGCATAATCCAGTCCATCACAATTAAGAAAATCACCAGGTTGTCTTACTCCTGCATGAACTTCGAACATATCGTTGAGTTTTCCGTTGTGGATCACCTGACACATGGCCTCGTTGTCATATAGCCAGCTGTTGAATGAGGTTGATAAAGATTCGGGGTACTGCACACCATAGTATTGAAGTAGTTTCCAAATTAATTCTTGGTCAACGCTGTTAAGTAATAATATGTCCTTAATGTGTTTTTAAAAAGCCACAATACAATGCAACACATGACGTTTATTTTTCATCCCTTAAGTTGTACTAATCCATATAAACTGTCACTCGAAACCCTAATCCGTTGAAATACTCACAATTGTGTGTTTTACCGGGTATTTCTGAGGTCAGTAGTCACTGTTTTGCAATTTAATCAATAGTTTATTATTACAAGAATGGCCAGTACACAGGTGTTGTGGTTCATACAATATTTCCTCTGCTTACATTAGTCTGAAGGACAGTGAGTTATAAGATAGACATATTTTAAGAACAATTGGGATTCATAATAATCCTCTTATTGAGATATGTGTTAATTCTGATTGAGTTTATAATCTCTAGTATTTATTAACATGTAAGTGATCTACCTACCTACTTAAAAGGGAATATATATTCAAAGAATTATTTCTTCATATCAACATAAACATTTCAAGATTTATTAGATTTGTATTGTTTATTCCTGCTCAATGTTGAAAACAACAGTAACAAGCGCGATAAAGCTTCTTTAGTTCACTTTTGATTTACCCCTTTTGATTGATTGAGTGGAGATGTTAGGGCTCTGTAGACATGTCGGCTCCTTGCTTGGACACTTCGATGACGCCTGATGACTAACCTGAAGTAATTTTGGTGGATGGTGACTAACAGTGGAATTCAGACTGAACAATTTGCGTCTTATTTAGAACCTCTTTTACCTACCTGGGAAGCATCGTTTCAACTACGGGTGGACGGAACTGACGAGGATATCAAAGCAAGAATCGGAAAAGCAAGACAAGCTTGCACTACTCTCAAGTCTATGTGGAGGTCAACAGCACTCAGCATCAAAAATAAGATCCGGATTTTCAACTCCAATGTGAAGTCAGTGCTCTTTACTGTACGGATCAGAGACTTGCACTGCGCGTCACAAAGAGCATCTCAAACAAACTACAGACCTTCTTTAACAGCTGTCTTCGCTCAATACTCAAGATCAGATGGCCAGCCAGAAAAGATCAGCAACAGGGATCTCTGGGAGCGAACCAACACAGCAGAAACCCATTGTGAAACAAATAGGCAAGAAGAAATGGAGATGGATTGGTCATACTCTGAGGAAACCATCAAGTGACATCACTAGACAAGCCATCGCTCGATTGGAACCCAGCGGAAAGGGAAGCGGCGAGTTGGTCGTCAGTGCAAGGGTGACTTGGAGGAGGTCATGTGAAGAGGAGATGAAAGCGTGTGGGCAGACTTGGAGCCAGGTGAAAACTCTAGCAGAGAACCGAACGCAATGGAGACGCACGGCTGAAGCCCTGTGTTCCTCTAGGAATTAAAGGAAATAATAATAATAATTTAGAACTCGTTAGCTGAATGTGTCTGCATTGCCAGTGGGTGATGGTGTTCCCACTGAAACTCAAATTCACTACTGGCCCATTCAAACACTAGAGAGTCATGTACCAGACTATTTGGGCCACGATAGGCACCTCTTGTATAACGAATATCAGTCATTATTCGTTTTTAATTCAGTTTTCATCTTCACGTTGATTGACCGGACTGAGATGTTCTGTCTCTTTTGAAATATTTGAAACAAGCAGTATTGGGGTTGAGTCTCTGTGGGGATACCATCACTCACTGAGAAATTCGGGTATATCCAGCCGGCGAGTCCCAAATAGGAATCCTGTAACAATACTCTGTTTTATTTCACAAGTAGTCAGATGTTTTTGGAGGAGCACAGATCCTATGTATCCCATGGTTTAATGAACATTTCGGAGGAACTGCTGCTTCTTTAATATCGCCTGAGGAGGGCTGATCATATCCGAAGTCTTGTGTGTAAAGACGAGGAAAAGTGGTGATTTTGAATAATCATCACTTAAGGAGAACTGTCAAATGTGGGAGCTCAAAGATGCAAAAATATCAACGAGTTCAACTTCAAGTGCTCCATTTTCTAATAATAGTGGGATGCAAAATGCGTGGCACTTTAACATCCAAATATGAAGTCTCAGAATTACACCAAATCTAGAGTGGTCTGTAAATCTTCTCCTATGAGTACAACTTTATCTTTCATAGACTGAGAAGCCGCTTTTCCTGTTGTACAATTGAAAAATTCTTCCCGTTGGAACACTTCCGTTTCGTAGAATAAAGCAGTCTACATTTGAGTTTCGCTTCATTGTATATCTAAGAACAGTTTGATCAGAACAAACAGATGTACTATTGTAAAACCTGGGGAAAGTAGTATTTAGGTCAGTGATGGAAAATAACGAGTCCCAGTCTACACATTAAGGTATAGAGGTAGATTCATTCCAGCTGGCTTTTGTGAGGTAAGTAGCAGTTTTACATTCAGAAGTAGCGCGTTTTAATTATTAAGTGCAGTGTTGAAGAATGAGATCAAGGAGTTTTAATCACAACTTAAAGATAGCAGGTCAATAAATGTGTTAGTTGGAAACACGTCTTCCACAATAGTAGAAGTCTTAAATGATGCTGCTGTGACATATCTTTAAAACAGTTTACCTCCTCCTGTATATCCATGATGTGTATTGGTAGATGTGGTATCGCTGTACGGCATATAGTGGTCCTCAAGAAATCATTTACAATGATTTCGTAGGAAAAGCTTAATCTTGGTGACCAGCTATACTTATTAGATTTGGTAATACACTATCGTGCTTTGGATAGAGATAGTTGGTCACCTTCATGAAGTATTCATAATACATGGCCTAATTGTACAAGGATAGTGCATCAACCACCACGGCGACATGATCGGTTCTTTATTGGAGAGTTTATGTTCTTTATTTAGTCCAGGGATACCCTAACCGCTGGTTAGTATTAGGGATGCTTTTTCCCCCCGACGCAATGAGGATTAAATGTTTATTACTCTGTTCATATTGGATCCAGCACAAGTAGGTATGGACTGAGATGGATCATAATGATTTCGCGATTTCATGAGACGCCCATTAGGGAAACATGGTCACTTCATTCTCAGGCAGTGATGATCCAGTAGCTATGCCAACTATAAAAAATTACTATTCGGTTCATGGATTCCGAGCAGCACACTTGCGCTGTACCCTGTTCTTTGATGTGAATAGTGGGTGGTTTCACGACTTCCTAAATGCCTTCATTTGCTCTCCACGTGATCTTCTCCATATCGCCTTCACTTTTCATCCGGGTTTTACTTGGCAGCCTGGTGTGAAGTGTTACTACTTTGTCTTTCTAACATATACCCTATCCACCTCAATTTTCTGTTCACACCTTGTGGGTTGTGGATTACTGTTCAATCCACTGGCGAGGTACCGTACTTATAATGATAAATTCGCCAGAAACGATAGTAACAGAACCAGTTATCATATGTCAATTGTTCCTGAAATTTTGGCGGGGAGAGTTTTGCCGCCACGTTGTGCTTCATGGAATATATTAGTCTTGTTGAGGTGCTGGCTGGTGTGGTGTGACTTTCTAAATCTTTTGAAACTACTACGGGTAGTACAACTGGTCTATGTCAGGAGGTATTTCACCAGCCTCCACCCTCAAAAATAGGAAAAAGGATGTCTAATTTCCTCCCCCTTGGCAGTTTTCCTGAACCCATGGAGTGTTGGGACTCGTAGCACAAGGGCCGACAGAGAGTTTCGGCGTACTGTTTCAGAACAGAATGTTTTCACAACCTGGAGACTTTCCAGAGGTGAGGGTTTCTCTCGGCCAGTTATCAGAGCACGCATAAAGGCTTATACCGACAATATCCACATTACTATTTAGCTGTCTGCCAATGGTTGAACTGAATTTTTTCAGCCATTTCCAAACTAGTAAAGTAATGACCATTTGAAACTACTGAGGCACATATCCCATTGGTAGTTTTACTCTCCGATATGAATCCA